TACCTGTCCTGTTTTTTTTTTGTCGTATCAGTGTCGCCGCGTCCTTATCTATGTAACGTAGCGATGATGTAAGACATTAACACCTCATCAAAATTTTGTTAAGGATTTAGACAATGACGAGTCACCAAGGAATGAGGTTTGTTAGGAAAGGTAACATCAGTAAAAACTATGTACTTGTTTAAAAGAGAGGAAAACACTTATATCTATTTTGTAAACGAGTATCCTAGAAAGCCACCTTAATAACTTTAGAGTCCAATATAAAAGCTTGTGGATGAGTATCACGAATAAGACGAGTATATCTGAATATATGTGATTCAATGGAAAAGAGATATTTAGTTAGAAACAAAACTTAGTAGGGTATCTATTTCTATAAAATAGTAGAAGATATTTGGTTGATCATAAAATATGTTGTATAAACTATGCTGACTTAGAATTGTTTGGGCACATTTGTTTGAAACAGAAGACATTTTTTTTGTTTTAAGAAGATATCTATTTTTTTTTCCTTTCAAGTACTCCATTTTTAAATGAAGTTTCGATACATGATGACCGGTGAATATGTCGAAAAATGTGCAGAAGAATATTCATTGACATTGTGCATTTGTCTCTTACTAACAGTGGTATAAACCAATTTTTAAAGGTTGCCACAAACTCTTCTCACTGCACTAAGGGATTATACTTCCAAACTTCTCCTGCATCTACCCTAACATTATCTCTTACCTTATATTCAAATATTTGCTCCACTTATTGTCATCTAGATCCATGCCTCCCTCAAACTTCGGCAGATCCACTTTGATGCCAGTCCTTGTGATTTCCATATGTGGATTGATGTAGGGTGTTGAAGTCCCGAAAGTCCCTTTGATCTTTTGGACACCTCTTTGCCTCCGTTGATAATGAATCCCGAAGCGGCGTGGCCTGTATTTCTCATCGCTGATGTCTTCTTTGTGGAACAGATTCAAATTCTTGTCTTTGTACCCCCTTCGACTCACCTGATTTCGATCGTGGGTGATCTTTTCTTGGGTCCAGTCATCCCATTCGATAAGTCTCTGTTGGAGACGACAAATTTCCTGTTGTACTCTTCCTGGGTAAGTTTCAGCGCACATCTTCGTGGTGGCATGATTAGTGTTTGGGTTTGGAAGGTGGGTTGAAGGTGGGAAAGCCACGAAAGAGGGAAGAAAGAAAGAGAAGAGAAAGGAAGAAAAAAGAAAAAAAAAATTGTGAAGGTGGCGTGGTTGGGGCGGATGTTAGAGAACCCTAAAAGAAGATTAGGGTTGAGCTAGCTCTGATACCAAATGATTCCAGAGTTAATCCAAAATCACAGCCAAACGACAAATATTTATTGTGGAATTCAAAAATTACAATGATGACTCCTCGACATAGAACATCACAAACAGGGAAATGGTAAATAACGATGATTTTGCAAAATAAGAAAAGAAAACATCACAAGGCATGATAACAACCCTCTATAGGGACGAGCAGTAGATTCAGAAGGGTAGGAAGCTTTGCAGTGGATTGGGCAACCACTAGAAGATGATGGCGGGCAACTTCATGGTAGGTGGAAGGTGTTTGCGGTGGGCTGGACGGTTGGCAATGGCTGGATAGTTGCTTGAGGCAGTAGACCAGCTATATGGAAGGTGAATAAAGTGCCGACAGTGACATAATTAGTGTTGCAGATGTCGGGTGGCAGTAGGAAGGCTGTGAGGAGATAGGTCGAGAGTCGGGGAAAGCATAAATATCTCGGTGGGGTCAAGCTACAGCCGAAGCACCACCCAGTTCCTTTGAGATGATCACCACCTTGGACCTTCTCACCGTCTGATACAATCCTCAGAAGGGAGAAGCGCCTAAAAGGCAACAAACTAAAATCTAGAATCATCAAAACTAACCTTTAAGTACTCAAACAACACATATATAATAGTTGCTAGTAGTTAGAAAGGGCAAGAAATGGAATAGGAAAGGTAATATGATAGGAAAAGTTTAGGACAAGTGAGGCAGGTGGGCAAGGAAAGTGGTAGAAAGGGCAAGAAATGAAATATATAAAAAAAAAGGTTCGCGGTACTGTAGCAACTACGGTACTACGACCCAAGCTCTTGTGCCAATGCTAGTCATGCTATTAGCAAAATTAAACTTTATCCCTTGATTCGTTGTTCACACTTTTGGTTCCATATTTTGTTGCGAATCTTCAAGCTCTTTAATATTAGTAATCATGTTTAAGAGCATTTGATGCATGCGCCAATCATCAATTATTAGCTTCTTTATAAATGCTTCGTGGAAGCCGAACTTTCTACATATTAAAATCACTATGAACTAAAATTCAATTTCAAATTTGAATGCATTTTGCTTTGGAGGTCATAGTTCAAGTCATGGAAGTTATGTTGCATGGATATGGACATGGGGCCACATACATGACATCGGCACGAGACAGATTTGTTACTAATAATATTGGATACGAGCAGGCGTGAGACAAACCATTGTAATAAAAATTAACTAAATAAAATATTTTGAGTAGAGAAGAGACATAGTTAATTTAATCATATTAATTGTAAAAAACTAAGAGCCCGTTTCTTATCACTTTTTTTTTATTTTTGATATATTTATTTTGTAAAAACTAATCAAATTGTATTTAAATAATAATCAAAACTTATAAAAGATATTTTTGAGTTTTTATAAAAATATCTTTCTCAATCGAACATGCTTTAATTTAAATCAAAATATAAAAATAAAAAATAAAAAATAAATAAAGAAAAACAAATGTGATCACAAATGGCCACAAAATTATTCATAGATAATTGTTTAGTTTTTGATATACAAAAGTAAGCATATATTATCTTGTGCTACATTAATATTTAAGGTCTCCCAATCAAATATTCATTAAGAGAAATAAATGAATCAACACCTTCTTTAAATTCTTATGTATTTACTTATCTAACACCTAATTTTTGATTTTTACATTTATGCCATGCAAATCTTTCATATCACATTTAATATACCACCATTTTTAGTTTAAAATGTGAAATACACTTTTTCATATATATTTGTAGGGCGGCATATATGTAAAAAATGAAAATTTTGGTGCTAGATATGTAAATACATAAATTTTGGGTGGCATTCTTATAAATCTTCTTTAAATTCACACGCGCATGGCATTCTTATAAATCTTCTTTAAATTCACACGCGCATACACGCGCGCGCACACACACACACACACACACACACACACACACACACAATGCACGCATATCGGACATTGACACGGCTCTTCAGTTAGAAGTATCCCTACATCATAGTATGAAAAGAAATTCTGATATAGGTACTCTTTACGTGGGAGAGATTTTAATGAAAGCTTAGCATGATATGTAGAGTTTCATGTAACAAACACACAATTTGCAGCACACAACCTATGTACAATTATTTACTAATTTGATGAAAAATAAGAATATAATGTTAGTCAATTTCGCTAAAAACTAAAATGTTCTTTGCATAAAATTAATTACAAGAATATAAACAAGAAATCTAGGCACAGTTATGAAGCCACTTGAAAGAAATCTTGCAAATATGGCTAAACACACTCACTCTCAAATCAAATATAACTTCTCAAAAAATTTCAAAGTCTCTCTTGATCATGGAATTGAAGTATGGAAACAATAGGAATTGCAACCATTAATGAGCTTTGCACTTGCTTTAGAGCCTCATTTATAATTATAAAATCTTTTAAAATCCATTTTTTTTCTATTGTATAGGGTTCAGAAAAGGGTTGCCAAAGTCAAATAATCTACTATGTTCCCAAGTATTTAGCATAAGAGTCACTAACGTAGGAAAATATGGTAATCACATGTAAAACCTAAGGGAAGCTGTGATTACAATGTGGGTGTGTATTATTTGGTTTAAATAAAAAAACCAAACTAAGCAGAGTCAATTTGGTTGATACAGTTTGGTTTAAAAAAAAAATTCAGTTATGGTTTCAAAAATGTTAAAGTTTAGTTTTCAAATTTTGGTTCGGTTTTACCTCTTATTTAACCGAATGAACCGACAACTAAATTTCTTAGGTAAATCTTCTTTGAGATGTTTAAGAAGTAAATTCTCTAGTGATCAATATTATATAATTTCCGCTTAGTAATTTTCACTTTTTCTTGCTATCATCATAACATAACTTCAAACTATATTCTGATTTATGTAAAATCGATTTGTTTAAACCAAGTTAAACTTCAGTTTGACTGGTTTGGTTTTATCAAAATTTTGTTTGGTTTGATACTCTGGATTTTGGATTTCGGTTAAAGTTAGTTTGCCCAATTTGAAAACTGAACCTCCGAACCGACCGAATGCTTACCCCTAATTATAGAGTAGTGGGCTAGTGAAAGTTACATTGAAGTTGGAAATCTTTGAACAAATAGGTTAACCATTTGTATATAATATCATGACATGGGGCTCTCCTAACTTTAAGGTGAGGTACCCGTCACCTTCAGTCAACTGTCCATGCGAGCCAATCGGATTTAATGGTTTGATTGAAGCACTTCTAGGCAGTTGCTTGCAGGTTTAGTTCTGTTACTATTCTTCAATTATAATCTTATGCTTGATTTGGGAAATTTTTAATCTCCCTAATGAAGTTCAAATTTCTATTACTTGATTTATATAAAAATTTCTAATTCCAATTTTTGCATATAATAGCACCCGAAGCTATTATATTTTTTCTCTTTCAAGAATCCATTATATTTATCTTTGTTCTCAAAGTTGTGAATGCCACGGCCATGTGCGTTGTTGCACATGATTTTATGTGGTCTGTGTGAATGGTCATAAGCATTTTCATTTTAATACTATGCGTTATTGCATGACCGTATTATATGGATATTCACAATTTTCTGGTTCTTTTTATAATTAAGAAGAAATCATGAATACGCTTGTGTTTTTGTTGAATGCATGGCATAGGTCCCTGTGTTTTTTAAATTGACATACTGAAAATGTAGATGATTCTAGCTACACTTGATTAGTTTAGTTATTTTATTTTGCAGAGTATATGCATGGAGGAAGCCTCTTTGACTACTTGCACAAACAGAAGAACACGTTGGAGCTCTCTTTGTTGTTGAAGTTTGCTCTTGATGTGTGCTATGGGATGGATTACTTACACCGAAAAAACATCATCCATAGGGATCTAAAGACTGCGAACCTTTTAATGGACAACAACCAAGTACGCAGGCTAAAATTACTACTTTCAGTTGAAACTTCGAAATTTATTTTAATTTTTTATGCATGCACTGTTATTTTCTTGGGGTATGGCCTATAAAAGAGAAGTTACATTAAAATAGTCCGCTGGTTTTACTAGAATTTTATTAATAATCATATAATGAGCTTTGGCCACTTTTTTGTGGATTTGCTTTGTGTAGTATCATTATTAAGTTCTTGTTAAAAGCTATGTTGAGTGGATTTCAGCTTAGCATGACAATTTGAGACAATTCTCCAGAAAGTTTGCAAATTAGTGTCGGACGTCTTTACCGGTAATAGTTAAAATTTTTGACATAAAGTCCTATTACCGGTGAATTTACATGGACAAATGTCCAATGCTAAAACATGGGTCGCAAAGGTAATTAAATTAGCATCCGAAATAGATGATGCAAATGTTTGTGTCAGGTTTAGAATCCGCAATGTGTGCCGTTAGGAAGTTGCGATGAGATTCTTTTGGACGCAAATTTTAACTGTAGAAATATCGTCTGATTTTGTCGAACGTATATTTAACGTCAGAAGACCTTGACGACTCTAATCTGCATCGGATAAGGCCGATGCAAATTCGACACAAAACTGTAGTAAATATATATAATATATATATATATTTAACATCTGTGAAATTTTGTACACATGCACAAGACAAATTGCACAACTATAATATAAGCGTCCATCCAATATTTACTCATCACCAACACACAAAAGATTGAACTAACTTATATCATTAATGAAAATAAATAGAATTATCTTTCATTTCAAAAAGTTTTCTAAGTTGTCTATCTAACAAAAATTTATAAATTGTAAATGAAAATACATATGCAGTGTATGTACATGTCCAAATAACAAACAAGGAAAAAAAAACATAAACCCCTACGGGGCATCTTCATCGCACTCATCATCATACTCTTCCTCTTATTTCTTAACTGAACTCTGAGGTTACTTGCACGTCGATCTACAAGCTACTCTAGTCGCGTTACAACGGCTTCGATTCCTTAGTGCCCCTAGTGTAGCCGATGAAGTTTCTCAATCATAGCAGTGACATACCATACAAGTTCAGCAAACTCGTATGATGATGACCTCAGACCCTGAGCAGATTCGTAGTGCTCGATATGAAATGGAATTCCTTTTTTTCTTAGGTCGTATACCCTTTCATTTTTCTTCCCAACAACTAGATTCCAAATCTCCTAGTCAGATTGCTCAGGAGCATACTAACTACCACTACTAATAGTGGTTGTCGGATTCTTTGTCTGGCTTTGGCTTTGTATGTCCCGAATGTGTTTTCAGTCATCTTACATAATTTAAATCAAGAAATAACTAATGTTTTACATTAAAAATATAACTAAATTGTAGAAAATTAAAGTTTTTTATTTAAATTGACACAGATATGTCAGACACTCCCTCTTGCGTCTCCGCACGTTGATGTGCTTGGACAGTGTGGTTGGTATCAACCTCCACCATACTCAAAAAAATAGGGTTACAAGTGTGAGCATCCTAAAGAGTTGACCTATTGAAAGGGAGTCGTGCGGCTTTCTTGTTGCATCTGAAGCAATGCTCTTTCTCCATACTTTCTTGGAGCTGGGGGCGTTTGAAAATAAGGAAATTATCATTGAAGGCAACAACAATGCAGTGATTAACTACTTCGAGAATTGTTTGACAACAACAACTTGGTAATAGTTCTGACATAGCTTTTTTGTATGACTTTAAATAAGTTCTTTTCTTTTTTGCTAATAGAGAATGCAACAAAGTAGCATATTTTTAATACTTCTCTTTTACATACCAACGTTTTTCATCATAAAACATTGCAGGTTTTACCACTTTTACAAATTTTTTTCTTTTTTAAATTTAAGTGGTTCATTTCTATCACACAATAAAGATGAAAAATATATGTATAAACTAGCTAAACAAAGTGAAAAGAAAAGTAAGGATTTAACACAAGTGTATTAAAGATGAAAATCAAAAAGTACTTTTCTTAGAAAAAGATATTCAACATAGGTAGGTTAGTTACTGAAAGTCTACTGAAAATCAAAAAGTACTTTTTTATGAAGTTTCTGAAATTACGATCGACCTTAATGATCTTAATATCGAGCATAATAATAAAACGTTTCATTTTTACCGTTGCATTAGTAAAAAAAAATTGAGGAGGCTTTATTGAAAACTAAGGGTGGAAAGTCTATAGGATCTGATGATATCCCAATTGAAGTGTGGAAATATTTGAGAGATTTGGGAGTTTCTTGGCTTACTAACTATTTAATATTATTTTAAAAACTAAAAAGATGCTTGAGGAGTGGAGGAAGAGTATTTTGGTCCCCATTTTTAAGAATAAAGGGTATGCACAAGAGTGTGCAATTTATAGAGTAATTAAGTTGATGTGTCCTACTTTAAAGTTATGGGAGAGGGTAATTGAACATAGGTTAAGACGCATCACAAAGATTTCTCATAATCAATTTGGATTTTTGCCCGGCAGGTCTACTATGGAAGCTATACATTTATTGAGAGGTTTGATGGAGAAGTTCAGAGATAATAAGGAGAATCTACATTTGATTTTTATTGATTTAGAAAAAGCTTACGATAAGGTTCCAAGATAT